AATAATTAGCTGCAGAGGGTGTTGTAATTCCTTTCACTTCAAATCTACAAATATATATGTGGCCAGGTGCCTAAACTTATGTGTAAATGTAAGTGCAGCTCAAGTGCAAAGGGAATGGTTGAATAAAAGTTGGCTTAATGTCAGACTCATATCTGACAGTCTCTGACTTATATGACTGTGTCTGTTTGTGTGATGACAGAGAATCAGTGGTTCCTCAGTACAGACGGGTCTGCGGTTCTTCGGCCTGTCTCTGAGTGAGTCTGCCCTGGACCACAGTGGAGACCGTTTGACGGACATCGCTGTTGGATCCAAAGGAAGAGTCATTCTCCTCAGGTTCAGTCAAATATGATCAGTAACAGGTGGAGCTCATCTACACTCATGTGTTCATTTTAATACCCTTTAATACCCTCATACTTCCCTATAAATCAGTTTATAACACAGTTCCTACTTACCTCTCCAGAAACTCTGCTCTCTGCATTCTGCTGCCCAGGATTTTGGGTTATTATTATTATCATATTATTACCATTATTATTATTATTATTTACTATTATTATTATTATGGATCATATATCAGTTTCATATTCTTTTGGACACTTTTTATGAGGTATGTATGTGCATCTTTAGACATCTATTCAGAAATGTCATGCCTAAATATGAGAATAAGTAAACATAAGCCCACCCTAAAACCCCGCCCTGGCCATATAAGATAGATTTAAAAAATAGGTCACATAGCATCATTTAAATCTGATCAAATCTGTAAAAATGTAAGACCTTTGATTTCAAAGAGATGTTGCTGTTAATATAGTAGTGTTGTACAACAGCTGGTTTAAATGAATGTTAATGATGTTACATGAAAATTCTTTTAGTAAAGTAAATTTTTTTTGAGCAGTGACAAATCTGAGGGAGGGCCTGGCTTCCTACCCCCCTCCCCCAGTAGACCACCCCCCTCCCCCCAACCATGGCTACGCCCCTGATGAAGACATGAAAAATGTTTGAAAGTGACCGTAGAAGTGCAGTCCATTAGTCGAAATTGAGATTCCTAGATTTGGAGTAAAGTAGACTGATTGTATGATTTATAGGACTTTATAAGTCCTGAGCTTTTTAATTTCACAATTTATTTTACATGAACATTTGTGAAACAGATCTGTTTGTGTAACCAGTCCTTGCATGAGGCCCACTGTATTTCAAAGAACATTTATATTCTCATGCATGTTTATGTTAATGTATATGTTTGTGATACTCAGGTCCAGACCCATTGTGTCCTTGGTGACCAAAGTAACCTATAGTCCATCAAAAATCCCCACCAGACCCACTGACTGTGTGAATCCTCTGGAAAACACTCTACGCTTGTGCTTCACTATGAGTGGAGTGAACACTCAGATAAGAGGTCTGTACATCTAACTTCATTGCTTTTTTAGAGAAGTAGTTGCTTCACTTCCAAATAAGAGCTGTGACTTGTTGGAAATTTGATGTAGCAGGTGATCTGTGATCTGTTCTCTTCTGTTTAGGTTTGGCTGCAAATATTAACTACACTTTAAAACTTGATGCGAAGCGACAGAACTCTCGGGCGTACTTTTCACCTAAAAACCGCCTTCTAACTGATAAGATGACTGTTCGCCTACAGGAGGTGTGCAACAACCACAAGTTCAATATAGAGGTGAGTGAATGGTTTTGTATATTGTGACGAGGCAGGTGTTTATAAAATTATTATTTTTTTTAAATTTATTGACCATTGCTATCAGGCCCTGTGGTCAACAAAATTGTTCCAATATGAATATAAGCAAGCTAACACTGCTGTGCACTGAACGGAACATCATAAAACAGGCAAGTACACAAAAATACCCCAAACAAACCAGCAGGCTTTGTCCAGTGTGGCAGTTAAGTTGCTTTGGCAGTAGTAGAGTACATTAGGATAGCTGGTTTTCTTATATAAAAGGGTTGAAGATTAATAGTAGACTTACTTCCATGCGACATCAGTTCAGTGCTCAGGAGTGTTAGCTTACTATTAGAATGGATGTAGCAATGTTTGTATTTCAACTCCTTAACAACCTTGTAATTTGGATCCAGTGACATTCAGTGGGAAAATGGACGCAGGACAAAACATATCGGGTTTGGAACGTTTTTGTGTAACACAGGGTGAGATACACACACTGATGGGATCTGTGCTGTACGTGAGATCTGAATTTGAAAATAAGCCATACAAACAACTTGAAAATAGATTATTTGGCTCCAAACTGAGTGACTAACACTGAACTCTAGGAAGCAAATGTTGGCAGTCACATCCTAAAGTCATTCCCTTTAAGATGGGCCGACCAGACTGTGTTATTAAAGTAGAAATGCTGGTATGTAAGCAGATACTATAGTAAGCAGGTCAGGTCTTGGTTTTTGAGGCACCCATCTCCATCCTCCAGCTGTAAATCCTACAAACCTGTGTCCTTTTCCAGCTTTTAGACATATAAGTGAATGTGAATGCATTATTGATTAGTAGAGATGAGCATCTTTTTAAAGCTTCTTGTGTGTCAGCTCATATTTGTAGTACAGTCCAGTGGGAAAGGAAGTCATGAATGACTCAATAGCTCCTAAAGATGAATGTAATACTCAAACAAATAAAGAATAATTATGCTGCATGTATTTTATTGTTGAAGAATTTACCTCATTTTGAATTCTCCTATATTAACAGTGTAAGATCAGCAGTGTTACATAACATTTATTGGTCATTCCCTTTTTTGGATAGCTTTACCTGGGTGCTGATAATTGTCAATCACCATAATTCATCATACAGTATTTCAACATAATTTAATGAAGTTTCTGTTTACCACATGTTGAAATAACTTTTTATATGTCATCCAGCTCTGATCAAGGGAAACTCACTACATTAAAAAAAGGTAAAAGGCACACAGAGGTTCAGTGAAAAGCTCAGTGTGCACAAAAAATCTGTTTTTTCTTTGCTTTTTTGTCTCACGCAGGCCTGCGCAGAGGACGCTCTAAACCCGCTGTCCAACGAGTTAACATTTACTTTTGAGGGCCTCCCTCTTAGTGGACAGGACAACTTAAAGCCTGTACTTCACCCTGACATAAGACACACCTCAGACCACAAAGTAAGAGCTGATGGTTTACAGTAAGCCTTTCATCTTCAACAGAAATATACATCTGCTGCTATTAAAGATGTTATATAAGGAAAAAACAGATGATACAAAACAAACTCAGCTGCATTCACTTTTCACACTTCAGATATAGTTTATGAACATCTAAATGAAATCAAATGAAGAATTTTACCTGATAACCTGTGTAGAATAATGCATGTTAGACGTAGCATTGGCACGTGGCTTTATTAACTATATCAACTATATAATTACACAGCTGGATTTTGAAATAGACTGTGGACCCGACAACATCTGCATCGACAACCTCAAAGTGGATTTCAACTTCTCTGGGTAAGACATTAGCGACAAACCCATTAACATGACAGTAATTATGATGAAGTCACTCCATTCCTCTATACTGTATTACAAAAAACATGTATTTTTAGTATTTTAGTATTAGTATTTTAAAAAAGTGGTGTGGAAAAATATAAAAAAATGATATTATTTAGTCATCGAGGCTGTTAAATACAGGTTCTCTACTTGTACTTAATGATCGTTTGACTGGAAATGAAATAAATGAAGGGGGGTCTCTTACCTTCGCTCAGTACTGAACTTCTTACATACTTCATTCGTATTTGTTTCAGACACTCAGACATAAAAGTTGGAATAATGCAGGATATGAATGTGACAGTCTTTGTGGAGAACAGAGGAGAAAACTCCTACAACAGTCACGTCAAGCTCACGTACCCCTTTGGACTTTCCTTCAGGAGAGTCACCAGCAGACAGGTAAGACCAGTGCTGTGAAATGTGAGATCTGTTATCGAGAAAGGAAGGAAACACTGTAGTTAACAATGTGGTTTTGAGCAGAAGAAAGAAATCGGTTGCCATGAGTGAGTGGAGAGCAAGTTTGCTCATCTGTTTAGTCTTGATTGGTCTCAAAGTTGACTGATACAGACTGATACAAACTGATATGAGTTTGAGTGTTAAAAATTGCAGGAATGTATTTTTTAGTTAACAGAAATCATTAGGGCTCCTCTGAAGGCCCTGAGGGTTCTTCACTGACCTGTACACTACCAGACTGGGCTACTACTCTATATGAGCAGATCACAGAGACCTTTTAAGTATGTTTTCTACCTTATCAGGGCAGAGTGGAGTGCGTATCTGTGGACAGTGATCAGAAAGGTACACTTGGGACGACCACCTGCTACATCAGTAAACCCATCCTCAGGGAGAATTCTTTGGTGAGTCACAACATCATTGTTTATTTGGACAGACTCATCAACGGTTGCACAGTTAGCTCATTAGTTTAATAAAAATAGTTGAATATAAATGTTCAGTGTAAGATTAGAGGTTTTAGGTCACATTTGATTTAGTCTGAGTAAAGAAAAGGTTGAGGGAAGCTGAACATTGACTACAATTACAAACAATGTTGTCTCTGCAGGTGGTTTTAGGGATATGCATGCTGCTAATGTTTCTATGCTCTTATTCTAGGCTGTGTTTGAGATCACATACAGCATAAACAAAGAAAGTAACTTTGACAGGATGGTGAGTTTCACTGCGACTGCTGACAGGTATGACCTGATATTATACTGACACACATATCAACTGTATCTATGTCTAAAAATGAGATCTTATAAGAATTTAACTTTTAAAAAATCAACTTTTAATGACTGACTGTGACTTTCTTCTTGGAGAAGAGTCAAACATTCATACATTGAAATGCTTGTGGTGAAGCTCAGATCATTCACTCTACGACTGTACAACGTCAGAAAGCAAAACAAGGAAAAAGAGAGTTTACAGGCAAAAATACCAGTTACTGAATATGAATTAATATTCAGTGTCAAATGATAGGATGAAACTTGATTCAGCATGAAGCCACAAAAATGTAGTTTAATGGAGAGTTTTATTTAAGGCTGTGGCTGTGAGAGGGAGAGGATAGGAGAGAGGGAGAGAGGGAGGGATAGAAAAAGAAACAAACTCCAGGCTGTATCTTATAGCTGAACACAACTGTACAGTGTCACAACCAATCAGGAAAAACTCCTACAAAATAGGATGACCACTGCTGCAGGGGGTTGGTGGCTCGAAGAGAGAAAACAATTACCAACAAAAGAGAGAAGGTGCTTCTACCAGCTACGGCTGAGATGCAAAAAAAAATTGAAATATTTGTCAAGAAAAGAGGTGCTTTATACCGAATTCCACTCTAGACTGTAACAAAAGGAGGGCATCCAGTTAAAAACATGTTCAGGGCCTTCACAGGACAAAATAAGTGAACTCTCAAGAAACCATATAAAGAACACAAATAATAAAACATGATCTCTTTTTCTATCACATGATTTTCCCCGCTAATTTAACCTCTTTCTGCAGTGCCACCTAGTGGCCATTCAAACACAATACAAACCATTTATGTCATTCTTGCATTAAAACTCTTTCTCTGGTTTCACAAAGACATTTTGTGATGAGATGGAACTCTGTTACATAACCCTTTATTAATAGTAGAAACAAGCTGAGTGGTCAGAAAACGAAGGGGAGAATCAATGAAAAGTTACAGATACATTTTCATTGAAAGTGTCCGAACATATAGATGCAGTCGAACATCTATATAGATACACTATGATTAAACCTTTCCCTGTGTGCTCTAAACAAACCCTGTCTACTTACTGACTCACTCTTCTCAAACCTTACAGTGGCAATGATAAACATGCAGCTGACAGCGAACTGTCTAAAAATAAAACCATCGGTGTGAAGTACGCCATCTACGTCGCTCTAATAAGGTCAGTTCTCCCTGTTTACCCTCCTGTGTTCTTACTGCTGTCTGTTTTCTAGTAACTCAGTCATCACCAGCTCCCAGCACAGTAGAGCTGTTTAGCCCCGTGTGACTGAGCTGTGGTGTCTCTGTCTGGTTGAAACTGTAGCACCATTTAGTCCTCTCGATATCAGCTCAGTGACTGTAAATAACCTCCTTTTACTGATTTTGTCAAGGCACGAGAATTCCAGCATCCACATTAACTTCACTGCAGGGAAGAACAACCTTGAGAAACCTGTCAATCACATATTCAAGGTATGAGGAACAAAGAGCTGTGGAAGCCCATTCTCACCATGTGGAGGAGGGTTTTTCTGGCAGCAGTATGTCAAAACGTTGAATTAGTATTTTAAAATTATGACTTACTTTCTTAAAATATTGAGTTTGTCTTTCGAAATAAGGACTTATTTATAATATTGACTTAGTATCTCAAAATCATGATTTACGTTTTTAATGTATTGATTTGGAATCTCAAAATAATGACTTACTTTCTTAATGTATTGAAAAAGTATTTTAAAATACCGACTTACTTTCTTAACATAGTATCTCAAAATAATGACTTACTTTCTCAAAATAATGACTGATTTTCTTGGAATATTAACTTAATATCTCAAAATGATGACTTTTTTTCTCAAAATATTTATGAAATGTCAATAGCTTGAAATAATTATGTATTTTCCCAGAATATTGATTTATTGTCTTGAAAATAATATTGTAAATGCATGACTGATTTTGAATATATATAAGTGATTTCTTAAGAAAATGACTTATTATTTGAGATACTATTAAATTGTGAGATACTGAGTTATTAAATTTTAGAAAGTAATTAATTATTTAGTATATAAATGTCATTATTCTCACCTACTCAATATTTAGAAAAAAAAAAAGTTTTTTTGAGATACTAAGTCAATATTTTGACATACTGCCGCTAAAAACAGAGGAGAAAAATAGGGGGTTACTTAAAGAACGCTTGGGCAGCACATAAAAGAAAGGTATGGATATTCTTGTTCTCTATCGCTCTGTCAGGTGGAGAATGACCTGAGGGATGTAAACCTCACGATTCTCATCAGAGTACCAATAAAACTCGGAGAGAAGGACATCTGGGCCAATAAGAACTTGCAGGTACAGTAGCATTATTAACAAAGTCACACGGGGCAGATTAACTGATATGTGGTGGTCTTAACTAGACCTCTGTCTTGTAAGTTACATTACTTTTTTAAATTGAATAAATGTCTGTCTCTTTAATTAAAGCCCCTCGTCTCAATACTGTGTCATTTACTGTGTAAGACAGCTTATATCGGCTTGTGATTTCTGGCACAAGCTATTCATAAATATTAGAGTTTGCTTTATAAATATGTTATTCAGTGCATTTACATGTGTTTACAGTCCCATTGTAGGCAGTGTTAAAGTGTTACCCTTTAGTTTAAGGGCCCTTTTGTCAGTACAGTGTAACGGTCTGGGTCTATACCCCCCCCCAAACAGTGTCATTTACCTTGTAAAAGTGAAATACTGACAGACGCTGTTCATAAACTGCTCTATGCCCTGTGCTGTGTTTTTAGATTCCAGACTGTAGCATGGACAGAGACGAGAAACCCACAATCCCTGATTTTGTGGAGGCACTAAAGAAACATCAGTCGGTGGTGAGTAACTGTTACACCTTTAGGCATCAGTATTCTTACCAATCAATTGTGTAATAAAGGCTTTGCAAATTCAATATTATAATCAGTTCCTTTATTGTGTGTGGAGTAATGTAACCAGTGGAAACTCTCTGTTGGGTGCAGAACTGCTCTGTGGCTGTGTGCAGACTGTTCAGGTGTAGTGCAAATCTCATGAAACGTGACCTGAAATTCTACAATATCTCTGCTAATGTCAGCTCTGGCTGGATTGAACAGGTACATTAACCTGAAAGCACCATAGACACATCTGTCTTTCTATCCCTATACATAAATATGCAAAAGCTCGGAGGCGCCCTGGTCAGATTATATTGCATTTTTACATTTTGTTGATTTTCTAAGTGCAAACAAGTTAACACATCTCTATTAATATCTTTTGTTGTATCCTCTCTTAGACCGGACTCCGATCAGCAGTTTTTGAGCTGGTCAGTACAGCAACTCTGGAATACGACAGAAATAAATACATCTACTATTCTTCAGACTCTTTGCACACGGCACCCGTTAGAGAGGTAAATGAACTGAGCGTCTATTTTTAAACATAGCTTTTATGTATTTGTGCATCTATACAGGCATTACTCTATATTTCAGTGTGAGAAATACCTACCAGTAGTGGGGGGGGGGCTGCTAACTCTGAGCTCATCCTCACATTACTGAGATCTTCCTCATCTCCTCTTCTGTCTTCAGCTTTAGAAATGAGTAACAATTCACTCTTTCCACCAAACTCTTGGGAAATTGGGTGAATTTTCAAATTTACAAATATGCTACGGTAACTATAAAGTTTCAGAGTTCTCCTGGGCTGAGTTGCAGGTACTAGGCCATGAGGGACCAACTGGGTGAACCAGTTTACTACAGTGCCACCCTGAGGCAGAACAGTGCTGCCTCTTTAGTTAATTAAGAACGCCAAAGACAGAAGCTTGCAGATTGTGGGTGAAGCGACTAAACAATGACCTTTCCCTCAGTTTGTATTTGAGCATCTTTTTTGAGACATTCAGGGGTGCAAGAGGTTAATTAGGGGCTCCTGGACCCCCCGTTGTTTTTGTTGGGCTTTACTTCTACAGTCAGTGTGTTCTACAGTCATGGGCTAACAATGTCTTAATGATTTTTGTTATATTTTGACTATATAATAATATTTAATGTAACATTTCACCTTAATGAAAAGGTCTGTATAACCATCTGAAGAATCTTTGTACTCCAATATGCTCAGAATCAATAGATTCAAGTTGCTGTTGCTTATATGACAAAAATGAAAATTCTGTTGGGGCGAAAGCCCAAAAAAACATACCGATGCTGATTGGAGCTTTAAGAACATACTATTTACGCTGTGAGTGCGGTCATGATGACTAGGTTGGGCACTTCTGTTTCTGTAAATGATGTTATCATATGTTGTTGCCACACTTATTTCTCATCACTGCTAGAGCTGCAGAGAGCACAGCTAAATAAACCACTGTACTACACCACCTCCACTCGCACAGAATTTCCTGTTATTTTGTCACAGATAAGATTGAAACACAGAGACCACAGTCTGATGACAGCTCCTCTGTCTCTGTGACCCGCTGCTCACGTGGTGGACTGTTTGCACGTCTCTTCACCTTTCTTCTCTTCTGGCTCTCTCATTGGCTGATGCCTGAGTCACTCGTTCAGTTTTGTCGCTGACCACCTCGCACTACGGGACTCATGAAGGTTTAAAACATGTTTGAAAGTATCGAAGGTCCTCTGATCACTCCACACTCCAGAGCTCGATCAGAAAGACAAAGAGTGACTCATTTCCACTCTCACACGGCCAGATCATCCATGTGGATGGATTTAAACCTATAGAACCAATCAGATTAAGGGCAGATTTTTTATCAATGGCTAATTTCCACAGCCACAGAAGCCAAAGTCTCATTAGTTGTACCCAACTACCATAAAGCAAATTAGCTTAAAAGGAAACTGCACCTTTTTTTAAAAAAAAAAATTCTGCATAATTCAGTCACTAAGATTCATTCAGAGTGGTTTGGTGTGAAATGGTTCAGATGTCTTTACAGTGGTGGTGATAGGAACCAGGGGTCGCCATGACTACAACACAGATATAGACATTTTAATTAATATCCAAAACCACCAGTATCTTCTGAGTTTTCATGTTCATGGTGGTAAAACTGTGGAAAACATTATTTTGCCTCAAAACGTCTTGCATGTATCCCTCCACTATGAGTGAATTAGATAGAAGCATTTCACACCAAACCACTCTGAATGAGTCTGTTTACGTCTCAACCATTTCACATGTTAACCATTTAATTATTCAAAAATTGTAAAAATTGCTGGAGTTTCCTTTTAACCATGGTGTTCTACCAGTGAAGCTGGGCTTTGGAGAGGAGCTCACAGAGCTGTTGTTTCTCCTTTCTCTGCTGTCACTGGGTGTCTGAGTTGCAGAGCTTAGAGTGCAAATAAAGAAACCCTATGAAACCAAGCGTCTCATCGGCAATCCATTCTGAGAACTGGTTTAAATCTACTGCCAGGGGAGTTATGGCGCGTTCATATCCACGCTGACCACAATGAAACATATTAGCATGTAGAATTGTAGTTTTCTGTGATCTACCCTGTTTTCTCTCACTGTATAAAAGATGAACGAGGCATTCTTTACCATTGGATACACAGTGAAAACTCAGGCTTATTATTGTTTTATCACACTAAAAATGATAGAAATTTGTGATGCATTTCTATTGATGTTTTCACTCCTTTAAAAATGTCATTTCTGACACAAACTGAATACAAATCTATTCATTTTAATTGTTAGATCACATTTATTACATATCAAAATAAATGCAGCAACAGTGCTGAGAAATCGCACCATTAACAGAGAGGAGCAGATTAAACATCAAGTTGTTTAAATGTTTTAAACAACTTCTATAAATCATAACCACTGAGCCACATTGCTATCTTTTAGCAACTGTAATGCTGTTTGTATGATAACACTCACCACTGCAGTTACCCTAGTCACTCTCTGTTGAACATAAACTGGAATCTCACAAAGGAGATAAATCCGACCTCTGCCAGAAAACAAAAGCTTAGAAAATGTTGTTTAGTTGTTGTGTTTAGCTTTTAACTCTATTTGAAATCATTTTAGGGTCTTTTTTAATTAAATCTGACTTTGGTAAAGTCACAAATCTTTAGGGTCATTTAGATACATTTGTAATCCAGTCGACGGCCGCTTTCAATCTGAGCACATTACAGTTTGAATTCATTTGCCAAAGAACGATTTGCTTTACGGTCAGTTTATACTGTGTGCATCTGTGTGTGTACAGATTAATACCCAGGTGGAGGTGTATGAGGAGAAGAACATGCTTAAGGAGATTATTGGAGGAGTGATAGGAGGGCTGCTGCTTTTGGCTCTCATCACTGCTGGCCTCTACAAGGTCAGTGCAGTTATTGTTTTCACTCTCTACTCCCACCTCATTACTTTCAGCACTGGAAGGCTCTGCTGGTCTCTACATTACGGTTCTTCTCTCATTATCACCTCTAGGCCGGCTTCTTTAAGAGCCAGTATAAGCAGATGTTGGAGGACGCAGGAGCCGGGCCTGAGGGGGCCGGAGAGGGGGCGCAGGCGCCTGGAGGAGAATAAACCCTGCGGAGTGACCGCTGTGATTCTGATACACAGTTACTCACCTATATTTGCCAGTTTAAAACTTTACTGTGTACCATAAACTTCATACTGATCTTTATACTGTGTGTCTGTAAATCTCCAGTCTTAAACTGGTTTTCTGTAGAAAATATGTTCAACCCCTTAAAATCCCAGCATTATTTCATACCAAGGGCTATTATTCAGTAACTACTTGGACTGCAATGCAAACTGGCTCACACTTATTCTTAGGTTATAGGAGTGTGTAGTAAATCTTTGGTTCTGGCCATTTAAGGGGTTAATGTACACCAGTAAACGTTTGTGGAGGCCTAGTTTTCAAAATGTTTGCATTAAATATCAATGTTTTCTGGTTTTCAGTGTCTTAAAGGGCTCATATCTTACATTTGTCTTGTTTTTTGAGGTCCACTTATAATGTTTGTGTGTTTTCTATTCCAAAAAACAGTCTTAGCTCATTTTCCAGCCTAAACAGGCTGTTTTTTGTTACGGTGCCTACTAATATATGTAAATGACCACTGTTCTGATTAGCTGCCTCATTCAAAAAGCAGTCCAGGCTGAAACATTCCCTATAACAGTGTGAATGGGTGGAGTGAAACTGCTGTGAGCTGAATAGGTGGAATTAATTTAACGTTGGTTTTTGGAACATCACACAAACAATTCATTCAAAATGCTTTTGCAGCTCATGTTCCACATCTGGACTGTATGAATGGTACATTTTTGAAACTTTAACAATGTTTACATACAACATCAAACTCTTCTGTTTAAAAAAGTGAGTACATGTTGATTTTCCATGATATGGGCCCTTTAACATTTTAATATATTAAAATCCAACCAGGTTTATTTACAGAGAAACTGTATTGTGATTGTAAATATTAGTGACAGTGATAGTTTAGGAATAATTTGATGCCGTTGTTGTGATGTCAGCACTCATCTGTACTCAGACTTTCCAGGTGTTTAAACCACCTTTAGACCAAGAGTTTCAACATGTGCCTTTAAATGTGAAGTACTGTAGAGTTTGATGAGCAGAGTCTATATTAAGGCTACAGACTGTGGTGATGTTTAGGGCTTTAACACCAACATACTTCAATTATTAGTGCATCGTATCTGAGCACTTTCTGAGAACAACAGCTGATGTTGCACTACACCCTGCAAACCCCACATTACTGTTATTAATTTTTCAAATTCCAGTCAAAATGGCTTTTAAGTACAAGTTATTCATTTTTCAGCATCAGGAGAAAAAGAAGCCACAGAAGTGTTCAGTGAGTCACTCCTTCTCTTTATTTCAGCTTCCTCTCTTTTCAGGAGACTCACTTTCAGTTCCTCAAAGAATCTGCAGACACACCTCCAAAGTTCAGTCTTAGAAGCTGGTTGATCATTTTCTGAAGTAATCAAGCTCATTCAGTGGTGTTGAGGTCTGGACTCTGGGGTGGTCAGTCCATCGTTCAGCTTCTTTGTTTGATGTGTCCGTCTCCTTTTCTCAGTGAGGTTCTTCTTGACAGCTACACATCCTTTCAGACCCACAGCGCTGAGTCGTCTTCTCACAGTGGAAGGATGGAGAGAAACACCTGTGGATGTTTTCAGATCTGAAGCAGCTTGATTTTCTCCTCTCTCTCAGAGATGAAAGCTTTAAGTGCTGTTTATCTGATGGGGGAAGTTTTGCGGTCTACCAGGGTCTTCCAGGTGGTTGTTAGGAGCCACATTTTCTCTGTAGCTTTCAATCCGTTTTTGAACTCTGTTATTTTCAATTATTTTAATGGACTTTCTCCTTTCTCATACAAGTGGATTATCTTGTATCTATTTTTTACAGTACAAAAACTGGTACTTAATGGTCGTTTTGACTGGAAATTCAATAAGTGACTTTTGCACAGAACTGTATGTTTTGACTGCTTACAAATTCGTAAAGTAACTGTGGACATGAGATTGTGTGCATCATACAGGCCTGTTAAATATGGAATAAAATAGAATATCTTTATTGTCATTGTACAAAATATACAATGAAACTAAGCATGCTACTCCTAAATAAAAATATGTATTTGTTTTTGCTGTTTGTCAGAGACCAGTTAATGTATTCATCAATAAAAACCTTCCTACAAGAGGAACCATTATATTTATTTGTGTGTTTGTAGTCCTGAATGTACATTTTTACACTTGACTTGCTTTGGAGGATGTGTGTCAAATAAACATCATTACAGTGATACAGGTGAATAGCTGAACAGCACAACTTTACAATATTGTCATAAAATGACAAAAATGGCATCCAAACTGAATTTTAAAGGAAGTGGAGAGATACAGAGGAATGACCTGAACACGAAACACAAAAAGGAAACAAAAGAAACACCTATAAAAGCAAATAAAGCTAAATAAAAATGATTAACATTAGTTTACTAATAATTATTTGTATGCATATCACGTCTCAATGTAGCAGCCACTTGCTTCTAGCAGAGTCAATGCTTTTCTGTTGATATGTTTTCTTATTGATATCTGATATTACCACTTTTAAAAATTAGGGTGCACTTTAAAAAGTATGAACTGACCCAAAAAGACAGTTCTAGTTCTAATTCTTTTATTTACCTACTTGAGAGACAGCTGGAATCATAATAACTGCGATTAATGATTTTATTCTCTTTTTTGGTAGTTTTATGCTGCTCTAAACTTGCTGGTTACAGTTAGCTTAACTTTAACTCAAGCTCACTTACAGAAGCATCCTTAATTACACAGATTCGTGTGTAGAATCAAACAAAGCTTCTGTTCACTGCTGGCAGCCCTTGTTTATGTTTACACAAGTGAAGCAGTTCAAATATCTGGCAGTACTAGCACTGTTTTTTGGTGTTTCCTGCGCTGGTCAGCTGATGTTGGAGCAACATGCTCAGATACACACAGATGCACACAGTCCATGTCTTCCTCACACACATTTAGGCCTAATCCCATTTCTCATTTTTACCCCTACAGATCCACTCTGATTTCTTAGATCGGACTAAGGCCTAGAAATCTGATAAAGAGGATCTGAGCTCAGTAATGGGCTTTTCAGTGCATGTAAGCCCTCACTCTGATTTCTTTCAGTTCTCTCAGTCTGCGCATGTGTGAAAACAGCGTTTAGCACATTACGAGACACAATACAACACTTGTGGAGTGACGCTGAAACGGAATACATGCCTGACAAAATGAAGGATTTGATTATTCTTCGTTTTCTAGATGATGTATATCCATATTTTCTGCTAAAGTGACAAAATAGAGCACGTAAACACACTGAACCAGTTACTGACACGGTAAACACACTCAGTGTCTGTAGGAGCTGCTTAAATATGACTTTAAAGCAGCTGTTACTCCTCAGGGAGCTCTCAGTCCGTGCGGTCATGTTCTGATCTCCCTCCTCTGAGTGGAGCCTGTAAACATCCAGAGCAGAAGGAGCAGCAGGAGGAGAACTTCTCTCCCTCAGAGAGGTGGAAACTCGCGTCTCATCCGGAGAAGGAGGGGAAAACGCCCAGTTCAGAGATATTTGCATGTTTTCATCACAAACTGCGTGAATGAAGTAAAAATCCTGATAAAAGGCCTTTCTGGAGCCGGTTCGGACGGTTCGGACGGTTCGGCAGATGCTAACGAGCTAACAGCCAAACAAGTTACTACAGTGTTCAGAGTTAATCTTTAACTTACTGAATTATTCACTCTGAATCTGGAACACAGGGAGTTAAACGTTACCTGAATGACTGTTAGAAGCTTCGTTTGTCCAAAGTCTGTGTGTGGAGTGGACAAAAACTTTAAATTAAAATCTTCTATAGCGAGTTAGCATAAATTAGACTGGTTGGGGGTGTTTTTTGGTCAAAGAAAGTAACTTTTCTAATAAAGTACTAATACTAATAAAGTAACCACTGTTATATAACTGATATATGAATATGTGTGCGCTGGAAAGGCCGTTTACATGGTGTTAAAGTGCAGAAATAAGTCGTTTATTTCATGCTCTTCATGCTGTGTGGTGGAGCTTCTTCACAGCTCTTAGTAAAGTTCTCACTGGCAGATTCACCAAATTCAGTCCTGACAGCAGATAATCAGTGAGCGTCATTATGTGGACAGTATTTTATTTTTAATGATTAATTTATTGTAAATACTACAGATGTGTGTTTAAAAAATGACTTTCAGAACATATATATATATATATTTTTTTTTTTTACCCGATTTTCTCCCCACGTTAGTCGTCAATTCCACCCGCTAGTTAGGACTCCCCCAATCACACGATGCTATCAACGCTAGGAGGGCGAGGCTAACACAGGCTTCCTCCGAGACCTGGGAAACCAGCCATCGCATCTTTTCGAGCTGCCGCTCACGCAACGTCATTGAAGGAAAGCGCCAACCGCCAGATCTGTTACGTCAGCTAACAGACGCCTGCGCTGACTAGCATCGCGCTGAGTGAGGGATGGGGGAGAAAGGCAGCCATCCCACCGACCCAGAGAGAGCGAGGCCAGTTGTGCTCTCTCGGACTCCCGGCTACGGATGGCTGTAACATCAGGGATCGAGCTCGCGATCTCCTGATAATAGGGCCAACGCTTAGACGGTTGCGCCACTCGGGAGCTACATTCAGAACATATTTTGATGCCACTAAAAACCTATTTTACAACTGTAAGCCATGAAAAAGGGTTGGGCCATTACTGGAATAACATGTTTCTGTTCTAGAATGTTCTTCAAAAATTTACACTGCGTTAGAATGGGGGGAACATCCAGATTTATTCAGTCTAGAACAGTGTAAATGTTCTTCATCTTTCACACTGTTCTAGAATGCACCCCCCCCCCATTCACACTGATCTCAAATGTTCTCTCTATTCACGCTGTTCTGTAGCGTCATCCCCAGTCACGCTGATCTTGAATGTTCTCCCCCATTTACACTGGTCTAGAATGTTCCTCCTGTTCACATTGTTCTAGAATGTTCTTCTCATTCACGCTGATCTCAAATGCCCTCCACATTCACACTGATCTCAAATGCCCTCCACATTCACACTGATCTTGAATGCCCTCCACATTCACACTGATCTTAAATGCCCTCCACATTCACACTGATCTTGAATGCCCTCCACATTCACACTGATCTTAAATGCCCTCCACATTCACACTGATCTTGAATGCTCTCCTCCATTCGCACTGATCTTGAATGCTCTCCTCCATTCGCACTGATCTTGAATGCTCTCCTCCATTCTCACTGACCTTGAATGCCCTCCACATTCACACTGATCTTGAATGCTCTCCTCCATTCGCACTGATCTTGAATGCCCTCCACATTCACACTGATCTTGAATGCTCTCCTCCATTCGCACTGATCTTGAATGCCCTCCACATTCACACTGATCTTGAATGCTCTCCTCCATTCG